TCCATTTGCCAGGCAGTTGTCAAATGTCACTCAAATTAAGGGCTAGCATGAAAAAAAAGATACCTGTACAAAACAAGAGAGCCCAATTAAAAACGCCTAAAAACACCCCAATAATAAGCCAAACTCTGCTTGGAGAGTATAGATATCCATAGAATGTTAACGTATGAGGTGACGGATTATTATAGTGTGTATTACGAAAGACTCTTGACGAGAGAACAAGAACAAACGTATCGTTTTCGTCAACTTGCATCAGTTCACTCGCATGAGTTCGGTTACAACGCTGGAGTGGTGAGGATGATTTATTTTGAGCTGGATATGGATTTGACCCGGACCCTCCACCACAAAGAAAAGTAACGGTAATATGATACCGTCCCTTTTTCTGAACTGTCTTCCCTTGACTTGATAAAGAGACGTGTCTGCTCCCCGGTGTAGCAGACATCGCCGATTCTTTACATCTCAGGTCGGCCGACGGTTTGGGAATAATTCATGCGTTTGTTGTGTTGGAGTCAGATGAAGATAAATTTGTTCCCAAACTAACAAAGACCCGGGGAAGATGTCCGAGGTCGCATAGCACCTTTGCCCCGCCGGGAATTGCTCATTCTACTCACAAAGAACGCCGTGGCACCGAGCGAATACCACTGCTTGCTGCGATCGAAGTATGGCCTTGGCAAGACCACAGCGCGCTGCATTCTTCTGAAGTCACCCACGCAAGGTCTTCACCTTTTGTCCTGGCTTGACTTGAACCTGCGCGACTTGAACACATAGATTAATCAGAGAGAGAGAGAGAGAGAGGAGGAGAGAGAGTGAGTGAGTGTGTGTGTGTGTGTGTGTGTGTGTGTGTGTGTGTGTGTGTGTGTGTGTGTGTGTGTGTGTGTGTGTGTGTGTGTGTGTGTGTGTGTGTGTGTGTGTGTGTGTGTCTCTTTCTGTGTGTGTGTGTGTGCGTGCGTGCATCCGCGTGTGTGTGTAAATCATAATCATGATAACTCGAGAAGGCTTGGGTGGATTGTCTTGATATTTGGTAGGTGGGTAGGTCTTGATGAGACCTCGTATTAGATTTTGTGTGTCATGGTCATCTCTTTCTTCACCCAGTCAATGAAACAAGAGAGGACCATGGTTTTGGACTTAACTCACCCCCCTCCCTCTTTTCATACCGCTGGCGCACTACTAGTATTGCCCTAGATGTACCTGACATTCCTTTCTCTGTAATATTTCATCCCAAACGAGACGTGGCGTGACACCAGACACGTTCTAGATCTGTTGACGGTGTCTGTCTATTGTCACCACTACAGAGTATGTATGTACATA